CTCACAGCAAGCAACACTTCCTCCTACTCTTCCTCCTCCTCCTCTATACTAGGTTGCCAATCCCGCAAGAGTGGACAAACAAGACCTCCCTGAAAGTTGGGTCGCGAGACAATCCTCTCTTTTTTTTCTTTCTTTCTTTCTTTTTTTTTATTGTTATTTTTTTTCTTTCTTTTCGATTTGAATGGCTCTTTTAGAATCGTATCAAATCCCATCTAGAGAGAATTACGCAAGATCAGTAAATCCAAACTTCGTTTACCAACTAACATATTTTTTCTTTCCACCTTTTTCTTTCTTCATCTCATCCTATATATATTTGATTCGATGGAAACGGATACTGAGAAGAAGAAAAAGTAGTATTAGAAAAAAATCTCCTTCAAAGACTTTAAAGGAAAAAAAAATCTCTTTTCTATTTTTCAAAAGCTCTTTTTCAATATTAAACGCGAGCACGAATTTAATTGGGCAAAGAATGGTAGTTTTGTACAATGGTAATTATTTCCAATGGTTCACCATTCGAAGGGCAATTCGGAATGGTTGATTTCGATAGTAGGTGGAATCGATGGTAACTATTGGTAATTACAATTATTGTTAATGGTAGTTACTATGGTTAGTAGGTACTATTAATGGTAATTATTACCAGTGGTTACAATTACTGCCATGGGGGTTACAAGTAATGATAATTACTATCAGTAGAGATTACTACTAATGGTAGTTACTACAAATTATAGTTACTATCAATGGTAATTATTAATAATGGTTGTTACTACTAATGATGGTTACTACGAGTGATATTTACTAACAATGGTAATTACTACTAATGGTTGTTACTATCAATGGTAATTACTAATAATAGTAATTACTACCAATGACAGTTAGTATCAATGGTAATTGTTAATAATGGTAGTTACTGTCAATGGTAATTACTACTAATAGTAATTACTACTAATGGTTGTTACTATCAATGGTAATTATTAATAATTGTTGTTACTACTAGGGATAGTTCCTACTAGTAATAGTTACTACTAGTGATATTTACTAACGATGTTAATTACTACTAATGGTTGTTACTATCAATGGTAATTACTAATAATGGTTGTTACTATCAATGGTAATTACTAATAATTGTAATCAATATAAAAATGACAGCTACTATCAATAGTAATTATTACCAATGGTAGTTACTATCAATGGTAAATACTACTAATGGTAGTTACTATCAATGGTAATAAATACTAATAGTAATTACTACTAAAGGTAGTTATTATCAATGGTAATAAATACTAATAGTAATTACTACTAATGGTAGTTACTATCGTTGGTAATAAGTACTAATAGTAATTACTACTGGTAGTTACTATCAATGATAATAAGTACTGATAGTAATTACTACTAATGGTAGTTACTATCGTTGGTAATAAGTACTAATAGTAATTACTACTGGTAATTACTATCAATGATAATAAGTACTGATAGTAATTACTACTAATGGTAGTTAGTAACAATTATTAATTAATTATTGATTATTAATTAATATTACTGCCAATTACAATTATGAGTGGTAATTACTACTAATGGTAGTCACTACTAGTGACAGTTTAATTATTACTTTTTATTATTTAGTAACAATTTTTATTCCCAATTAGTAAATTTTGTTTCTAAATTTTCTAATTTAGAAACAAAATTTACTAATTGAGAATAAAAATTAAATTTTGTTTCTAAATTTTCTAATTTAGAAACAAAATTTACTAATTGAAAAATTAAGAAAAAAAAATTAATTAAAATAATTATTTTACTTCAAAAATTTACTAAAAAAATTTAATTTAGATATTATTAATAATTTTATCCGATATTCTATTACAATGTAGTAAATTTTTTTTTTTTTTTATTTGAAATAATAACACAAATTTAGGGTAGTAATTTTTATCAATTTGTTGAAAATTGCTGTTTATCTGAATTTGATATTATCGAAAACACCATTAACAAGAAAAAAAAATAACATATCTGAGCAAAGAAACGTTACAGAAATTCAAGGATATTATTAATGTCCACTCATTAGTAATCTTCCTTGTAGTTCTCTCCATTCCTAATTACAAATTAGTCGCATCATGATTGTTAGATCTATATACAATGTAGCTTTATCTTGATTCTTGCTCTAATGTTGTAAATATATCATTTTTTTTCCGAAAAAAATAATTTTTTCCAGCTATCTTTAGATTCCAATTTAAGAGCTAAATAGATAATTGCAAAGATCATGCGATCAGGAAACTATTTTTAGTTACCTATTGGACTGAAAAACTGCGAGAGTACAATTAACAAAAAAAAAAAAATTGTCCTTAATTCGAAAATTTGTTTTTTACTAATTGTAAAAAACCTTTTACTAAATAGGAAAAAAATGTTGCTAAATAAAAAATTGTTACTGTAATTAAAAAAGTTGATGATAATTAAAAAATCATTATTAGATAATTAAAAAAAATAAATACTTGTTAATTTATATATTTTATAAAACAATAAAAATTGTTACTAAATGAAAAAAAGTAGAAATTGTCGTCAATTCGAAAATAGATTTTTGTATTAAAAAACCTTTTAATAAATAGAAAAAAATTTTTGCTAATAAAAAAATTTAAACACTATATCGTTCATTAAAAAATCTAAAAATTGACACTATTTAAAAATTTATTCCCAAAAAAAATTGTAAAAATCAAAATGAGATTTATAATTCAAGTTAAATAAAATTTTCAAAATAATTAGTGAGGGAATTTTTTTTTGTCAAAAAATTTAACAAACAAATATATAGATATATAAATTTGAAGTTTCGGTGCACACGTGCAATCTGCTCTCTCAAGCCGGCTTTTATGAGACAAGGACGAATAACAGACGCCGGCTAATCACTTGGGACGATGACTAACTATCAGGCAAAAGAAAAAAAAAGAGAGAGAGAGGGGGGGGGGATCAAGGTCTTCCATTCTCGTTTTATTTCGTTTTGCTTTCTTTCCACTTCTGCTCTACATTTCAGTGACAGTACAATACAACCGAGATCTCTTCCATTCAGAAAAAGTTTCCTGTCTTCCTTCCTGCCTCTCTGTACTCTCTTCATTTAAATAAGTAAAATTTCTACTGGTAATAGTTACTATCAGTGATGGTCTCTATCAATGGTAGTTGTTATCATTGCTAATTACTACTAGCGATAGTTATTATCAACTGTAATTACTACTAGTGATAGTAACTATTAATGGTAATTATTACTAGTGATAGTAACTATTAATGGTAATTAACACTGGTGATAATATTACTTTCAATGGTAATTATTTTTAGTAGTAATTACTATCAATAGTTACTTTCACTATTACTATCACTAGTGATAATTACTAGCAATGGTGATTACTACTAGTGATAGTAACTATAACTGAAAATTACTACTAGTGATAATTACTATCAATGGTAATTACTACTAGTGATAATTACTATCATCAGTACTTACTACGAGTGATAATTACTATCAATGGTTATTACTACTAGTGATAGTAACTACTAACTATCAATGGTAATTACTAGTAGTGATAGTAACTACTAGTGATAATTACTATCAATGGTAGTTAGTATCAATGGTAATTACAACTAGTAATATTAACTATCGCTGGTAGTCAGTAGCAATAGTAATTACTACTAATGATAGTTACTATCAATAGTAGTTACAACCAATGGTAATTATTGTCGATAATAGTTGCTATCACTGGTTGTTACTATTATTTTGCAAAACATTTTTTCTTAAATAAAAAAATAAAGGAAATAAATAAAAAAAAAATGAAATAAAAAAAATGAAATAAATTTAAATTTAAATAAATTTAAATTGAAATAAATATAAAATAAAATAAATATGAAATAAAATATATTAATTAAAATAGAATAAATAAATATAAAATAAATAATCGAATAACGAAATAAAAAATTGATTGAAAAAACGAAGGATATGAAATCGAGTTATTTATTTGTTAATAAAAATTTTTTAATACTTAAGCAATAATGTCAAATGTTTACGTAAAACTGCTGTGTTGAAACTGTTGAAAGAGGCATAAATTTTGGTAAATTTTTTTCTTCTGTTTTTTTTTTTTAATTTTATTCTTGTTGGCAGCACGAGTCTTGTATTGTTCGTCCCTTTCATTAGGGCAATTTGACCAGTTCAACAACCCAAACTTATCATTATCGGCACGAAAACATTTTTTTTTCCTTTTGCTCCTCTCATAATCGATTACATTCTTCAAGGTATGAAAATGTAGGATTTCCGCTCGGCCTCATATAATCACCGTAATTAATTATTTTATATTTTATTATTAAAAAAAAAACCTTTATTTTTCATTTATTAAAAATATTGTATATTTGAAATATTTTAAGAAAAAAAATTTTGAGGCAATGGAAATTATTATTAAATTACTACTAATTAATAATTATATATTTAATAGTTAATTAATTAATTAATTTAATTTAATAATTATTAAATATATAATAATAAATATAATAATATAATAATAATAATTATTTTTTTTATTTTATTATTATTATTATTATTATTTGTTTCTTTTCATTAATTTAATTATGGATTAAATTATTTAATTAATTAACTATTAAATATATAATTATTAATTTTATTTTATATTTTATTTTAAAATTTTTCTTAAAAATAGTAGAAAATATTAATAAATTTTTTTCTTTTTTTTGATAAAAAGAAAAATTATAAGAAGTTTTATTAAAAGAAAAAATATGAAATTTGATTAATGACTAAGATTCTGAACTTAAGTAAATGTTTTGTTGGTATATTGTTCTTATCATTTTTAAAAATGATATATCTTCTTTCTATTTCTCAGCTTTCCGTGTAGAGTATTTTATTGCGTCAATAATAATAATAATAATAATAATTATTATTATTATTATTATTATTATTGTTGTCGAATTAAAAAAAAAAAAATGCAACGAAAAACTAAAAGTTTACGTATTTTATTTGCTTTCAGCAGTGGTGCCGCCAATAAAATCTTAATGAGTAATGTGCCACCTCACCTCACACTCGACGATGTCCAGCAGCTGCTTTCAAATTATGGACAAATTCAGAACATTGAAAAGGTTGCATCGCGCGATCCAGTCTCGCAAAGTATCCACGCCGTTTTCGAAACCGTCGAACAAGCACATCAGTGAGTAAAATCAAAATTCTAAAAAAGAAACAAAAATTTTCCTATTTTTTTAAAACTTTTAATCATGAAATTACTCTTTTCTTTTATTTTCATCTTTATTTATTCCATTTTTTTCTATTATTATCAATTTTTTTATTTTTATTCATTTTTCTCTATTTTTGTTTAATAATTTATTGTGTTTACTATTTTTATTAGGTTTCTTATTTTTTTCTCTCAATTTTGCTTATTTTTATATTTTCATGCTTATTATTTTTATGTTTTTTATTTCCATCTATTTCTGTTTGTTGTCTTTTTATTATATTATTATATATTATATATTTATATATTATTTACCTATTTGTTAATTTTTATTTTTATAAATTTTTTTAATTTACTTATCCTTTATTATTCTTCTATTTTCATGAATTTTTATTTTCTTTTAATTATTTATTTTCTCTACTTTTGTTGATTTATTTGTCTATTTTTATCTTTTTGACTTTTTTTATTCTTTGAATTTTTATTAATTTTTGTTTACTTCATTTACTTTTCTTATTTATACTGTTTTTATTTTGATTTCATTTTTAATTTTTCAATTTATTCTTTCAATCTTTTTATTCCATTATTTTGAATTATTCATTTATTTTCTGTCATTATTTTATTTTTTTCTCTTTTTCTTTCCTTTTTGTTTATATTTTTAACTGAAAATTCATTTAAAATTGGATTTAAACACAAAAAAAATATTTTTTAATTTTTTTATCGTTTGATTTCTTTTGAGAGTAAAAATTTACTTTTTATTTGAAACCTGTAACATTTGGGCAATTGTTGTATGCAGACAATTTGTCAGAAAAAATCAGGAAGAAAAAATGGAGGGTCCCGTACCGATCGTGATAATTCTAGCGATTTGGATCCGTTTTATCCACCGACAATTATTTTCTTCTAAATAGAAAATTTTTCTTTGATTTCATTTTTGTTTTGAAGATATTTTTTGGATTTTTCTTTTCTTGAAGTTTAAGAAAAGGACGAATAAAACCCTTGTTTTCCTGTAATTTGCAAATTTCATTGATGAATTGTTTTTTAAATGGGAATTTTTTAATTCTAACTTAAATTGAAATTTAATTAAATTATTGAACGAAATGGAATTTAATTAAATAATTAAATAAAATTTAATTAAAATTAAGAGGATGATTTCATTTGAAACAGAAAACTTTGTTTTAAATTGAAAAGAAAAATTTTAATTAAAATTGAAATGAAAAATTTAATTTATTTATTTATTTAAATTTAATTTAATTAAATTTTTGAATTAAATTTAATTTAAGAAAATAATTAAATGAAATCTTACTCAAATTAAGAGGATAATTTCATATGAAATTAAAAATTTCGTTTAAAATTGAAAAGAAAAATTTTGTTTAAAATTAAAAAGAAAAAATTTAATTCAAATTGAAATGAAAAATTTAATTAATTTATTTATTTATTTATTACAAATTTAACGAGTTATTAATAATCATATTTATAATTTAATTTGGAATGAAAAGTTTAATTTAAGTTGAAAAAAAAATTGTTTTTGCGAAAAAAAGAGAGAAAAATACATAATAATATTGTTGAAAAAATTTTGCAGAGCTGCAAATCAATTGAACGGCTATGATTTGGAAGGAAATCCATTGAAAGTTGAAATGATGGGTGGAGAAGGACGACGAAGGGGTCGCAGTCAAAGAAGTGGCGTCGCTTTCTCAGGAATTCCCGGATCCGGTCGTCAAACGGACTTCCCATTAAGAATTCTGGTCCAGTCAGATATGGTTGGTGCCATTATCGGTCGTCAGGGCTCGACGATAAGGCAAATAACACAGATGACCCGCGCCAGGGTCGACGTACACAGAAAGGACAATGTCGGCTCATTGGAGAAGGCCATCACTATTTATGGAAATCCAGAAAATTGCACGAACGCCTGCAAAAAGATTCTCGAAGTTATGCAGCAAGAGGCCACCAACACCAACAAAGGGTAAAATATTTTTTACTCCAAAACATTTTCTATTTCTTCTGTCAAATTTTTTTTTCGATTAATTTTTTTCTGTTAATAATTTTTCTGTCAATTTTTTCTCCGGTGATTTTTTTTCTGATAATTTTTTCTCCTATGATTTTTTTTTCTGTTAATTTTTCTCTTATGATTTTTTTCTGTTATTATATTTTCTCCGTTGATTTTTTTTCTGTTAATATTTTTTCTGGTAATTTTTTCTCCTATGATTTTTTTTCTGTTAATTTTTTCTCCTGTGATTTTTTTTCTGTTAATTTTTTCTCCGATGATTTATTTTCTGTTAATTATTTTTCTGCTGATTTTTTCACCGGCAATTATTCTCAAGGGAAATTATTTTTAACAATTGTTTTTCTTTTTTCATTTTAACAGTGAAATCACTCTGAAAATTTTGGCACACAATAATTTGATTGGTCGCATCATTGGAAAAGGAGGAAATACAATAAAGAGGATTATGCAGGATACGGACACGAAAATCACAGTGAGCAGTATCAACGATATTAATAGCTTCAATCTCGAGCGTATTATCACTGTCAAGGGATCCATTGATAATATGAGCAAGGCAGAGGCGATGATTTCACAAAAATTGCGTCAAAGTTATGAGAACGATCTTCAGGCAATGGCTGTACGTATACACCAACGACGATTATACTTTTTCTACACGAATTTTTTTTTTCCAAAGAAATTACTCAGTCGTCGAAAAGATGACAAATTTATAATCAACCGTAATTTATGGAAAAACTATTTTTTATACTGAGAAACAAAATTTTTTATCCAACCAAATGAAAACTTGATAAAATAAATATTCAAGCGAAAAATTATCGAAAATATTTTCTACAAAAAGAAGAATATTTTTTATTTCCAAATTTTAATTTCTTTATCAATAAATCAAGAAATTGAAATTTGGAAATAAAAAATATTCTCTTCTGCAAGTAAAATCATTGAATTTTTGCAAAGAATTTTATCAAAGAATTTGAAGAGAATAATTCAATTCCTTCGAAAAAATTTTTTATTTATGAAAATAATTGAATTCTCGCGAAGAATTTTATTAAAATTTTTAAAAATCCTAATTAAATACTTTTAAAGAATTTTTTTGAATTTCTTTTAAAATAATGGAGTTTCTTTAAGAATTTTAATTTCAAATTTCGAAAGTAATTGAATTTCATGAAGAAGAAGTTTATTTAAATTGTATTAAAAATAATTGAATTCCTCAGAAGAATTTTATTATTTATGAAAAATAATTTAATTCTTGCGAAGAATTATTGTACTATTTATAAAAATAATTGAATTGTTAGGAAGAATTTATTAAAATTGTAGGAAATAAATGAATTTTATGTAAATATTTGAAAATAATTAAATTCTTTCGAGGGAATTCTATTAAAATTGTTTTGAAAAGAATTAAATTTCTAAAAAGAATTTTATAATTTTTAAAAATAATAATTGAATTCTTTCGTGAAATTTTATTAAAATTTGTTTAAAAATAGTTGAATTTTTGCCAAAAAAAATTTACTATTTATAAAAATGATTGAATTCCTAAGAAGAATTTTATTATTTATGAAAAATAATTTAATAAATTCTTCAAAACATTTTATTATTTTTTCTTTAGCAAATTTCAATAATTTTTTGCTTGAATATTTTTTTTGTCAAATTTTCATTTGGTTGTAAAAAAAATTTTGTTTTCAGTCTAAAAAATAGTTTTTCCATAAATTACGGTTGATTATAAAATTGTTTTGAAAAGAATTGAATTTCTAAAAAGAATTTCACTATTTTTAAATATAATTGATTTCTTTCGTGAAATTTTATTAAAATTTTGTTAAAAATAATTGAATTTTTTCAACAAATTTTACTATTTATAAAAATAATTGAATTCCTCAGAAGAATTTTATTATTTATGAAAAATAATTTTATTCTTGCGAAAAATTTTACAATTTATAAAAATAATTAAATTGTTCCGAAGAATTTATTAAAATTTTAGGAAATAAATGAATGTTATATAAATATTTGAAAATAATTAAATTCTTTCGAGGGAATTCTATTAAAATTATTTCGAAAAGAATTTTATTACCTATTTATAAAAATAATTAAAATGTTTGAATTTCTGTAAAGAATTTTATTAAAATCAAGTATATTCAAAATAATTGAATTCATCAGAAGAATTTTATAATTTTGTGAAAATAATTGAATTTTTTCAAATTTTTTGATGAATATATTTGAAAATTGCATTGAGAGTAATTTAATTTTTATATAGAATTTTTTTGTAATATTTTGAAAATAATTGAATTATTTTTAGAGAATTTTAAATTCTTGTTGAAATTAAATTTTATGGAAATTTTTAAAATTCTTACGTGCAATTTTATTTAAATTAGATAAAAAATAATGTAATTCTTGCAAAGAATTTTAGTATTTATAAAAATAGTTGAATTGGTTTGAAAAATTTATTAAAATTTTTTAGAAATAATTGAATTTTATGGAAATATTTGAATTCTTCTGAATAATATTTGAATTGAATTAAAATTGTTTTGAAAATAATTGAATGCATGCAAAGAATTTTAGTATTTATAAAAATAGTTGAATTTTTTGGAAGAATTTATTAGAATTTTGGAAAATAATTGAATTCTTTTGATAAAAATTTTATAACGAATTAAGAAAAAAATTAAATTCTTTCGTGAAAATTTAATTGAAAATAATTTAATTTTTGCGAAGAATTTTACTATTTAAGAATTGTTTAGAAGGAGTTATTAAAATTTTAGAAAATAATTGTATTCGTTCATAAAATTGTGATAAAAAATAATGTAATTCTTGCAAAAAATTTTACTATTTATAAAAATAATTGAATTCTTGCAAAAAAATTTACTATTTATAAAAATAATTGAATTGTTAGGAAGAATTATATTAAAATTGTTGAAAATATAAACAATAATAATTAATTTTGTACTTAACAAGTGAATTTAAAATTTTTTTTTTTATTATTTTTTATTATAAAATTATTTAAAAATTTATATTTGAAAATAAAAAATTTTTAATTTACATAACAATAATAAATTGAAAATCACGTTCCGCGCGTAACATTTTCTAGTTCAAAATATAATTTGAAATACAAATAAATTCGAATTAATATTGTTAAAAAAAGGAAAAAATCGAGGAGTTTAATTGTTTAATTAAATTAAATTAAATTAATTAATTAATTCTATTTATTTGTTTAATAAAATGAATGAAAAAGAGAATTAAGAATGGTTTTTTGTCAACAGCCACAAAGTATGATGTTCCCGGGTCTTCATCCAATGGCAATGATGTCAACGGCTGGAATGGGTTACAGTTCACGAGGACCGGGACTTTATGGTTCCGGACCTGCACCATATCCTTATCAAAGCAGTCTACCAACTCAACAGGGAGCACCGGCCGGTGGTGACACTCAGGAAACGACATTCTTATACATTCCGAACAACAGTGTTGGTGCTATCATTGGAACTAAGGGTTCCCACATTAGAAACATTATCAGGTTTTCCGGTGCAAGCGTTAAAATTGCACCACTCGAACAGGATAAGCCGGCCGAACAACAAACGGAAAGAAAAGTCACTATCGTCGGATCGCCGGAATCTCAATGGAAGGTAATACACTCGCTTTTCAGTTAATTATCACTTAATAAATTCTTTTTTTAATTTTCCATCAAATTATTGCAATTTCCCATCAGAAAAATTATTCAAATTCCAGTTATTTGCAATTTTTCTGTATAAAAAATTTATTATTTTTCTTTTTTGCGAATTTATTTACTTTATTTTTATTATTGTCATTTATTTTTGCATTGGCGTTTTTTTTTCTCTTTCTGTATAAAATTTTTTCGTATTTTTCTTTTTAGCGTATTTATTTACTTTCTTTTTATTATAAGCATTTATTTTTTCATTTACGTTTTTTAATTTTTTTTCTATTTCTGTATAAAATTATTCAGTATTTTTATTTTTTCATGGAAATTTATTTACTTTTCAAATTTATTTACTTCTAATTTCGTTTGTCATTTATTTTTTCATTGAAATTTTTTTTTCTCTTTTTCCTTTTCTGTATAAAATTATTCAATATTTTTATTTTTTATGAATTTATTTACTTTTGCTACTTATTTACTTATTTTTTTATTATTTATTTTTATTTGTCTCTATTTTTCATTTTATTCTGATTTAATAGTTTTTTATCTTTTGATTTTTTCAATTTTGAAACCTGAAACATTTGGGCAGTTGTTGTATGCAGACAATTCGTCAGAAAAATTCAGGAAAATAAAAATGGAGGGTCCCGTACCGTTCGCGATAATTCTAGCGATAACGGATCCGTTTTATCCATCGACAGTTTTATTCTTAATTTCAAAAAAGGGAAATTTTGATTTTTTTTCCCAACTATTCTCCATAAAATAGAAGCAAAATAATTTTTCTAAACAAATATCAATTTCAAAGCTGTAGTAAATTCAGGAAAGCAGAATTTTCCAGCAAATAGTAAATTTTATTTTTTATTCTTTTTATATAAATTTTTTTCTTATTCTTTTTATATTTTTATTTATTTATTTATTTTTTATTTTAGTTAATTGTTTAAATATTAATTCAATTGATTTTCCTCTCTTTCAGGCGCAGTACTTGATTTTCGAGAAGATGCGCGAAGAAGGATTTGTTGCAGGAACAGAGGACGTGCGATTGACAATTGAAATTCTCGTGCCAAGTGCTCAAGTTGGAAGAATCATTGGCAAAGGCGGTCAAAATGTACGTGAACTTCAACGTGTAACCGGAAGTGTTATCAAATTATCCGAACAACAAGCGACACCGCCAGCAGCCGATGAGGAAACAACTGTTCACATTATTGGTCCCTTCTTCTCCGTTCAGGTAAATTTTACACCCACCTCATTTTTACCCAAATTTTCCCTCTTAATTCGAAAATAAAGTTTTTCTCAAGCTTTCTTAATTTTTTTTACATTTTTTCGAAAAAAATGAAAAAATTTTTCCTATTTTTATTGCTCCATTTCTATAATTTTTATTTCTTAATTTCTATTATTTTTTATTTTTTCATTTCTATTGTACTATTATTTTTTCATTTTTATATATTTTGTTAATTTTATTTTTATTGAAAATCACTTTTTCTTCTAACAGAATTTTTTTTCTTGAACTAATTAATTTTTTTTTGGGAATATTCAAGCATTATTTGTTAAACAATTTGCAACCTGGAACATTTGGGCTTTTTGTTGTAAGCAGACAATTTGTCAGAAAAACCCAGGAAGAAAAAATGGAGGATCCCGTACCGATCGTGATAATTCTAGCGATTTGGATCCGATTTATCCGCCGACAAATTTTTAATTCCCGAAAGGAAGACAAATTTAATTTTTTTTATTCTAAATAATACGAAAGTTGTAATTTAATCCTTCGATGATTTTTTTATTTCTTAAAACAATAAGAAACCGAAAGAAAAATATTTGTAATAGAAAATATTCAAAAAAAAGTAAAAAAAAACTTTAAAAATAGTAAAAGTTGTTAAAAATTGTAAAAAATAGCAGAAAAAAAGAAAAAATAGTAAAAATAGTAGAAAAATGGTAGAAATATTAGAAATATAGTAAAATTAGTAAACAAAAAATTAAAAATAGTAAACAAATTTTAAAATTAAAAATAGTAAAAATATAGTAAAACTACTAAAAAAGATATTAAAAATAGTAAAAAGCCTGGAAAATATAGTAAAATTAGTAAAAAAAATATTAAAAATAGTAAAAAAAAATATTATAAAAATATTTAGAAAAGATAGTAAAATTTATTAAAAAATTGTAAAAAATAGTAAACAAATTTTAAAAGGAGTAAAAATAATAAAAATGTACAGAAAAAATAGTAAAAATAGTTAAAAATTGTTAAAAATAGCAAAAAAAACATGAAAAATATAGTAAAATTACTAAAAAAATGTTAAAAATAGTAAAAAACATTTTAATAATATTTTTAAAAAATAGTAAAAATAACAAAAATATTCAGAAAAATATTAATAATTGAAAAAATAGTAAAAAATCTTTAATAATAATAGCAATAATAAAAATGTTAAGAGAAAATAGTCATATTAGTTTAAACTTGTAAAAAATTTCAAAAAAAAAGGAAAAATAGTAAAAAATGGTTAAAATATCGGAAATATAGTAAAATTATTGAACAAAATATTAAAAAAAAAAAAATACTGAAAATAGTAAAGTTAATAAAAAATATTCAAAAAAAATAGTAAAAATATTAATATTTGAAAAAAATAGTAAGAAAGCTTTAAAATTAGTAAAAATAAAAAAAATGTTCAGAAAAAATAGTAAGAATAGTTAAAAATTATTGTAAAAAAATACCAAGAAAAAATATTCAAAAATGGTAGAAATATTAGAAATATAGTAAATTTAGTAAAAAAAAATATTAAAAATATTAAAAATATAGTAAAATTAGTAAAAAAAATATTGAAGAGAGTAAAAAACATGAAAAATATAGTAAAAATAGTCAAAACAATAAACATATTCAGAAAAAAGTAGTAAAATTATTAAAAAATTGTAAATGAATAGTAAAAATGTTTAAAAAATAGTAAAAATAGTAAATAACATGAGAAATATAGTAAAAATAGTGAAAAATAGAAAAAAATATATCGAGTCGATATTGAGTATTGAAATTAATTTGAATTATTTCGCAGTCGGCGCAGAGAAGAATTCGTGCGATGGTCCTGCAACCAGCGGGTCCAGGCACTGGAACGGGCACCGTTGGCACTCGCGCTGGACGTGGTAGCAGCCAGGAAGGTGGAGTCCGTTCGCGAAGGGACGACAGTGCTACATCTCAGCCAGGAAGCACGACACCTCAGCAAGTTCCATCTCAACAATCGAGCTCGCCCACACAGCAACAACAAAATCAGTAACGTTGACGACGCTCATCAAAAGAAAAAAAAAAAAAAAAACGCCAACTAACGCCTCACGAAATTCCATTTTACTCGGTCGAGGTGGTCTCGTTGCTCTTAGAAAAAACTCTTTCTCATCGCTAAGCACATCTTCTCCAAAAAAAAAAAAAAAACAAGAACCACGAATGGTCAACTCAACAACAAAGAACCATTCTATTCAATTTTTTCCTCTAGCGATACTAAAATCGCTATCTTTGGATTATTTTCGACAACATTTCTCAACATCCCAAGAGAGAGAAAGAGAAGATTAATTCAATATTCGAGACATTGCTTTTTTTCGAATTTTTTTTTTCTTCGAATTTTGAAAAAAATGGATATTCCAGGAGAAAAAGCGTTTTGAAAACGAATCCACCTCGCTGATAAAAAGTGGAGCAACGACGAAACACACACAACCATATTACCTCATTCATTACGGTTAAAGATTTATGATAATGGAAAGTGAAATGAGAAATAACTGACAAAAAAAAGGAACACTTAATATTAAAGTTTAAAATAATATACAGAGAAGTTTAAAAGCTACACTTTACGTTATAAAAAAAAACTGGTTAAATACTACATTACTATTACTACTACTACTATTATTATTGTCACTGCCTAATGGTAGTATTGTTTTTTTCTCGAAATAGATTCAGTTTCTTTTACCGTTTTTTTTTTTATTTTTATTTTTGAATTTAATCCAGAGACACGAATCTTTGATTCGAAAATTTTGAAGAGTTGTTTCAATGAGAGAGTGAGAGAGAGAGTGAGAGTGAGAGAAAGCAGCGACCCCTCGCGATGCAATACCAAAGAAGCGATTACGACGTTTTTCGTATTAAGCGCCTCCAGTTCCTTGCAACAACAAAAGAGAGCGAGGGGCCGATTTATCGCGTTTTTTTTTAAATCTAGAACAATTTTTTTGTTCTAGAAAATAAAAATGCGACATGAGTACGAGGAAGTTGCATACAAAAAAAAAAGAAACTTTATCAGGGATTCTTAATTTACCATGGATGTAATAGTGTGCTAGTGTGCGTGTGTTGAATAATACTATTAATTAATAAATAATTAATTACTCATTAAGATTGAAGAGAAAAGAAAAAAAAAGTTGACCGAACAAGTCGCGACTAAATGACTTTTGTTCTAGTACTTGAGATTTTAAGCCTCAACAACTCTTAAGGAAAATCGAAAGATATTTATCTTCAGGATTTTATTCATCATGACATCGTGTTTTTATCTCGAGAGAATATTTTTATCCTGAGAGAAAATATTTTTTGCAAAATTTTTTGACAAACGTTTACAAATATTATTATTCGAAAATTTGACAAATTTTCGACAGTTTCAACAATTTACTAAAATTTAAATGTAAAAAAAAACAAAGAGATTTGTAAACGTTGATCAAAAATTTATTAAAAAAAAAAAAAAAATCGGACTGACAAAACTGTAATTATTGCTCCTTGAAAAAAAAATTCCTTTTTTAAGGAAGAAATTTTTTTGATACTCTCCAAAAAAATGTTTCTCAAAAGAGAATAAATTTAAGTGAGTTTTTCAAGAAGTATTTTTTCTGAAAAGAATAGTTTTCGTAAAAATAATTCTTGATAAAAAAAAAATGGAGCACTTGGAATTTTCTGAATTCCTTTTTTCCAAAAAGGGAATTTTCTACCTGACGATTAGAGAAAATTATCGTCGGTATTCTTTTCACGGCATTCGGTACGCGTTAAAAAAAAGTACAAAGATATACGAAAGCGAAGTCAAAGAAAAATAAAATTAATTTGCGTCTGTAGGGCGAAATTTTTTTTTTTAAAACGTGTGTATGATTAGGTTTTTTCTTTGAGAGAGATTAGGGACGAGAGAAGGAGAGGAAAAAAGAAGAAATCCTCCTACAACCCCCTCCCCCGTTCTCTTCTCTTCTCTGGTCCATCCCTCTCAGAAAAAAAATTGCGGAGGATAGAGAGAGTAAAAAGAAAAATATGAATATAAGTTTATTTTTGATACATTGTTGGAAAGATCTTAATTAGTCTTTCTTTTTCAATTTTTTTTTTTTTTTAATTTTTTTTTTTGTTAGATGTTTTTAATAACTTAATGAATTTTAACGATATTAAAGGAGTAGGTGGTAGAGTGTGAGGAAGGTTTAAAAAAAAGGGAGGTGAAAAAAAATTTTTTTTCAAATGTAAAAAGAAGAGAGTTTAAAGGCGTAATGAAAAATAAAAAGCGAACTGGTATTTCGCAAGAAATGAGAGAGGGCAAAAAAAAAAGAGAATTAATTAATGGTAAATGGTCGCGCGCAGCTTTTTGGACTGTGTCGCCATGAGGAAAAAGAAATTATAGAAGATTTTAGTCGGATATAAATTGTATAATATATTTAATATATTTCAATGATGCGACAGCGATCTGAACGAAAAAAATCAACGATCGTCGTTTTTATATACAAATCAAGAATTTAAATTCGATGAAAGAATATTTTTGCCTCACAGTTTTATGTGACGCTTTGATTTTCTTTCATTGTGATGCTTTTTATTTATTTTTTTTAACACTTTACGACGATCGTTGTTCAATTTGGATCGCATTCGAATTATTATTATATCAAAGCGTAAATATTTAATGAAAAAAAAATAAAAAATAAATAAATAAAATGAAGATGATGAGATAAAGCGAAAGTGCCAAGGGATTAAATACGGATCTCAAAAAAAGCGGATTTATAAAGAAAAAAAAAAATATATACACAGTATGAAAAATGGAAAACGTCTTTTCAAAAAAAAGTAGTTTACGCTAAAATATTTCAAGGAGACATTTTAAGTAAAAAATTCTTTTAGTACTTTCGACCTGCCTATCAAAATTCCGACAAAAAAAAATGCATCGAAACGACCAAACCTTCCAAACTCTCCTTCAAACACTTGGCTTCGAAAAAAATTTTTGCTTAACAATTCGACTTTTTTTGGATAAATTGAAAATAAATTCTTGGAAAATTGTTCTAAATTCGAAAAAAAGAGCCAAGTGAGGGGGAAAGTTGGCTAGGATGCCATATTAAACAAAACAGTAGCGAAATGCGAGATGCTCTTTCAATTATGTTCGCGATGGCGATAAATAAAAAAAAACGCAAATATTCTCAAAAAAAAAAAAAAAAAAATACCGCCATCCAATCCAAAAAAAGCACCCCCTACCCCTTTTGGACATCTGAACAAAAACCGAAGTATCGCTGAAATTCAAAATTAGCCTAAAATATGAAAAACACACTTCGAGAAAAAAAGAAACTTTTTTGACGCTCTTTTGGTTATTTTTTCGGGATTTTAATTTCCGAGTCAGACGACGAGTTTACAATTCTAAAACTTTGTTGATCGCTCGCAGTTCTCAAGACTCAAATAAAAAGACACAAAAGGCTGATCGCACTCTAGATCGCAATTGTCTTTCAAAATCGTTCCAAAAAGAAAAAAGAAGATATTTTTTAACGAAAAGGGAAAACTCTTCTGCCGACTCCATTTCACTTGATTAAAAAAAAACACACAGTGATTTGATAAAAAAGAAAAAATTGAAAAAAAACCCGCCCGCACGATCGAGAGAAATGTACAAATTTGAAGTTTAAGAGAATGACAAATGGAGGTGCATAGAAATTATTAATATAATTATTATAATAAAAAAGTAACTTAATAGTATTTTTAAAGTTTATTATTGATGAATTAGAATTTAAAAAAAAAGAAAACAAGAGTGACAAACAAATGTACAAATTCGATTAATTAAACTAAATTAAAAATATTAGTCTAAAATGTATTTTTAGTGGGGAAAAATGAAAAAACTTAGAGAAAACTTTTTCGAAAAACATAAATAAATAAATAAACTTTGCATCTTCATAGTTGAGATAATTCTCAGAAAAAAAAATAAATAAATTTTTTCAACTCTCCTTGATCGCAGTTCTCAGGATCGAAAACGGCAATCAATCCGTTCGCGTGAATGATTAATATTTTGAAATTTTCGATTTTTTTTTTGAAAGCAAATTTTTTTATGACAAAAGGAAAAAAAAATGGTGAAAAGAATTGTTAATATACAGGAGGTGAAAAAAAAGAGATTAACGGCAAAGGTTGGATATAAAAAAGAAAAAAATACGAGCAAAAACAATGCACTTTGATATCAAAAGATCAAATAAAATACCGATTGTAAAATCGCACGACGCGATTCGCATGATAGATTATAAAAATGTGTAAAAAAAAAAAAATGAAATCACTAGCAACCAGAATTATACGGCTGCAAAAAAAAAAGATGAAAATATATAAATACAAAATGGGAAACACACACACTCGCATTTCCGGGACTCCATGGTGAAAACTGACTTCCCAGAGTCCGAAAAATGACAAAAATGAATAAAAGAAAACTCAAAATAAACAGTTCAAACAGCTGCTGTCTTACAAGAGACAATTTCCGTGCTTGGAACATTTTTTTTTCTTGTTAAACTTGAATTATTTGGTTTTTCAATTTTATGGCGATTTTGATATTTTTTTTTGAAATTTTATTGTATGGATTTTTTTTGGTAATGAAAATTTTCGGGATTTTTGGGAAAATTTTTTCTAAATGGAAATTTTTTTTAAATTTTTGAATTGAATTTTTAAAATAAAATCCGGAAATTAATTATGGAAATTATAAATTAATTCTAGAAATTGAAATTTCTATTGAAAACTTTCGAAATTAAAATTAATTTTCCCAATTGAAATTAACTTTCGGAATTGAAATTAACCTTCGACATTAAAATTAATTTCACAATTCAAATTAATTTCGCAATTCAAATTAATTTTGCAATTAAAAATTAACTTTCGGAATTAAAATTAAATTCGAAACTAAAATTAACTTTTAAAATTAAAATTAACCAGTAATTTGTAAATTTAAACTTTAAATATTAAAAATTAACTTTGGAAATGAGAAATTAACTTTGAATATTAAAATTAATTCTGGAAATTGTTATTAATTTTTAGAATCAAAATAAAATTTGGAAAATTGAAATTTATTTTGTAAATTATTTGGAGAAATTTTTTTTGCAAATCGAATGTGGAAATTTAAATTAAATTTCGAAATTAAAATTAATTTTTTAATTAAAATTAACTTTGAATATTAAAATTAATTCTGAAAATTGAAATTTATTTTGCAAATTATTTTGAGAAATAATTTTCGAAATAAATCTGAAAATTCAAACTTAATTTTTGAAAATTATTATTTAAATCGATTTTACATAAATTCGTGTTTCTATAAAGAAATTTGAAAATAAATTTTCGGAAAAAATGAATTTTAAATCTTAAGTAAAAAATGAAAAATTTAATTTACTAAATTTTAATTCTTCTCCAATTAATTGTGAAGAAATTATTCTACTATTAAATTATTTGAATTTAAATATTTTATTTAATTGAACAACTCAATTTTTCTGTAATTAATACCAAAAAATGTTTTAACTTTACAAAAAAAAAAACCAAAATATTTGAGTTTGAAAAGAAAAAAACAGTCGAAATCTTCGATTCCAAAAAAAACATCACGGAAATTCAAATTGCACGAGTGCCAGTTAAAAAACAAAACGATGAAAAAAAAGAAAACAAGAAATATTCTAAAGAGCCACTGTCTGCACACCAGCGCACAGTTAATTATAAAAAAATATAAAAATACTATACAAAAAAAAATCCAGGGAATTCACCCCATATA